TCATCCTGGGCATCTGAGCCTGCCTTGGCGAAGACGGAGACTTTGGCGCCCAGGTCCGACCTTGGAGCCTCTCACCGGGGTCAGAGTTAGGGCTCTAAGTCAGCGCTCTGTCTCTCCAGCCACACAGCAGGCCCTTTCTGTTGACCCTAGGTTGGAAGACCGACTCGGAGGTGCTGTTAAGGGGGTGTTCTGGGGAGGGGAGGGGAGGGGAGGGGAGACCCCACGAGGTCTCCTGGCCGTGCCACAGCCTGCTCTCCTTGCAGACTGGCTCAAAGGGCTTTGATGGCCAAAATCATCTGCCTCACTCCTTTGCAGGGTGGGAGAAGTATGAGGATGGCCTTTGCCCCTGTTCTTTCTGCTCTTGATAGGAATGGATTGTGCTTCCAATCCTGCTGCTGCTGCTGCTGCAACAAGGACGAGGAAGAGGAAGAAATCTTTTACCATTATCCCCTCCTCACAGGGGTCTAACAGAGTGGATGAACTGGCCAAGAGCCAATGGGCCTGCCCTTACTGGGACAACCCCAACCTTTGATTCGGTTTTTGGCCATGCTACAGTGTGACAGAAGGCTGGCAACTGGCTGTGACCAAGAAAGGCAGTATTGCTCAGAGGGTGGAGCCGTGCCTGCCTGCAGCGTCTCGCTTGAAAGGAGTTTTGCATCAAAGTGGGCAAAGGTCCCCCTGCATCCTTCGGGTGCCCTTGTAGAGTCAAGTTGGGGCTGCATGGCGGGCAGCAAGGATTGCCACATTCAGATGGATGGGGAGGGGTCACGTCTCATCTCACACACCAGCCAGGTGTGGGGACAGCCAGTAGCTGTCCTTCAACGTGACTCATCATTAAATGGCTGGAAAGAATCGTGACAGATCATCCAACAGGCTGAAGGTGGAAAGAGCTGTGGGATTAATGGAGTCCCAGTCCAACTTGATCCTGGCTAAAACCTGATGATGGATAGGAAAGGACCGCTGCGGGTCACGTCCCCTCCCAGATCAGTTGTCTCGCTTTGCCAGCATGTTGCTTGTGTGCATGGCAAAGAGCAAGGCTAAATTTCACTCCTTTGGAAGCCAGAGGCTAATTTTAGCCTCCCTTGGCACGCCATCCCTTTCCCCCAACCCGGATCCTCTCTGTGTGCTGTGATAACACTCTGAGCTGGGCTGGCAGTAATCGGGAGAAAAGCCCAAAGCCTCACATAGGAAACAAACTACATTTGGTTAACGGTTCCTGCAGCAAACCTTTTCCACTCAGCATCAAAAGCCTCCGTTGCATTATCATTCATGCAGTTATTTACGCCAGCCTGACCGCAGTGGCCTACTGGATTCTCAGAATGCTTTGTCGAAAATAAAGCAAAGGTTCCCAGAGCGAGAGGCAGGCCTCTTCTCTCTTTGCCTCTTCCCCACAAGTTCATCACACAGGTTCACCAATAATGGGCACGTTGCTGTTTGCAGTATTTTTAAAATCAGATCATCTTGGGTTGAACTAGCAAATATGTCAGTGTCAACACTTGCAAACTTTGGGACCAGGAGGGAACCATCCAGAAATACAATTACGAAAACCACTTGGAGTTGGGTTGCTTGCTTGAACTTTGTCTTGCTCATTTGCTGTTTTTGAGATTATCTGTTGGTTCTCAAAAGCTTAATGCTCTCCATGAAGAGGGAATATATTCTTAAATGTGGTGCATATGTACAAAGCATGTGTGCATCCTAATGCACCATGTGCTGCCATGTCACGACTTGCAGGTGGCAAGGTTAAATTTGACCTGTCATGTATTAAAGGCCAGCCGTGCTTTTCTCTCAATCCTCCTCTTCCCACTTTCCTCTTATGTCTCACCTCCTGTTCCAGCTGCTTGGGACAGTGTAATCCAACCCTTGAAGAGTAGGCCATCCCCAGCTCTGCAAAGTGCAATGAAGGTTGACATTTGAGATCAAATATTACCCAGGGAGAAAGAGATCAAGCTGCTCTTAGGCGGGGCAAGTTTTCTGTGGTGAATCCCAGGCTCGAACAAACTCTTTGTGCACTTGTGTGTGTGTGTTTAAGAACAGAACTGCACAGTCTCCTGCATCAAGCGGGGGCTGGTGGGGGGAGGTTGGATGGCTTATAAGGCCCTTCCTATGTCTGTGATTTACTAAACTGCACAAGCTTGGGGTGCAGGGAGCATTCAAAGAGCCTAAATGAACAGCATCCAACCCCAAACACACACATTGAGAAGCTAGAGCAAATGCAAATTCATGTTACTGTTGGAGTTGCCCAAATAAAAGTTATACGTTTTATAAGTTAAAGTTATATGTTATAAGTTAAAATATGGATAGCCTTGTCTGTCTTCTCTCCCCTACAGGGTTATCTGCAGGGTTTTTCCTTTTTGTTCCTTCTCCAGGAAAAGGAAAAGCAGCCCAAAGCTATGCAAATGATTCACCCACTTGCAACTCCTGATTGCCCAGCCAAAACAGAATTGAAGCATTGCTGCAAGCAATAGGGCAGCTGTGCTTCCTTTGCAATGTAAAAATGCCTAGCCAACTCATACTTTGTCTTAAGGAATGTTGTATCTCTGAGTGTAAAAACTAAAATATTGAACCTGTCAGAATTCTGTAATTCCTGATTGTTTTGTTATCTATTACTCAAGCCTTCCATGTGTCATAATGTTTTTCCTGATGTCTATGATCCCTCGATGTTTGTCCTCACCTTCTCACCCACTCAGAATCTCATCACTGCCCTGAAACTGTGCATGTGGACCACAACTTATAAAAACTCTTTATAAGCTCTAGAAGGCTTGTAGTTGGTTTGGTATACTGACTCCCCAACAGCACTGTTGGTTTTCTCTGACAGGTTACCTGGGTGTTTCCCAATAAAACTGCTGAGACTGAACATAGTGTCTTTTGTGTGAATCTGAATGTAATTCTTCCATGCTGCTATCAAGATTTCCTGACTCTGGTGTGGCCCCGAGCACAGATCCTTTCAGTACCTAGATTGCCCCTGGTTAGAAGTCCCCAAGCAGGAGGTTTCCAGTCCTATCATCCTGCTTCTCACATTCTAGCTGTGCCTGTCATCTTTTTTCCAAAACAGGCAGACCCCTTTCACCCATTTTCTGCATCCTAGAGCTGAGGCCGAGAGACAAAGAGCTGACAAAAGCTGCACGTGAGGAGCTCCTGTCTAAACATGGCTCAAGACCAAAATCCCACTCTATTTAATCACCCTGGTTTAAACTGCCTGTCAGTGTGGAATCAGTGAGACATGCCTCAACACATACCTCTAGATAAAAAAGAACAACAGGCATTTGTGCTGTTGACTCATGGCAAGCATAGCTGTCACGTCCAAAGAAACACGACTGAGCAATGAGAACACTTCATATTCCATGGCCAATTCATCAGTGTTAACCATGCAGCAAGAATGCAAAATATTACTGCATTTAAGGGCAACATTTGGGCCAGTGAGTTTTAGTTCCAGTGGCAAAAGCTACTCTTGGCAAAAGTGATGTGAAAAACCTGCAAGATGAACATGAGGAAAAAATATGTGAGTTGTTTGAACTCAGGTGCTGGCTTTATTCCAAATTCCTTTTTCCTTTTTCAGGGAAGCTTTTCACACAGCCTCATAGTTCTTTATCTTCATGTAACAAAGAGCGCAGTTCAACTCATGAGTAAATGCTGGCTGGGGAATGCAATTGTAGGGCTTCTTTTCTGCCATGGGAGGGCACCCTAGGGCTGCAGTCCTCACTTTCTTTGGAGCAAGTCCCACTGAACACAGTGGGAATTACTTTTGTGTAAACCTGCAGCGTCATACCAACACCATGCATGCAGAGAAGCAATTGCAAATCAGGTGCCTCCCCCTGGTTTAGGTGTAGCTTGAAAGTTCCTTGAGGCAGGGACCTGCCCTTCTTACTTTGTGTAACACCAAGTCCTGCCTGGTGCTGGATGGATAAATACAAATTATATGCCCACACACGAAGAATCTATAAATAAATAGACACAGACACGCACATTGGTTAAAAAGGAGGAAGAGCTCTGGTTGGAACAAACTGCTTCTCTGACTCTAAACAAAGCAGTTTCCACTGGTTTGAGAAAGTTTGTGTTGTGGGAAGCAGAAGTAGCAGCTTGCAGCAGTTACTTGCTTTATACAGATCACATTAATATGACTTGGGTAACCTGAGACCAAACCTCCAGTTTCTACCTTGAAAATGCTTGTTTTCACTTCGGCTTTTACTCGCCCATGAAGGATACTTGGACCTCACAAAACAATGGTGCTTAAGTGCAGTGCTTTGTTGTCTCATTCTTCCTCCAACTGCATTCTGCTCGTTTATGATGCTGTATGCCTTAAGGGACATGGGTGTATAAGGGAGAAAACTATTTCCATTTGTCCTTATTTCCTTCTGTGACTTTTATGCTTCTCTGAAGAAAACATACCAATTTATCTCTGAGTGGTGAACCACAGTTGTCAGGGGCCATCTCAATTAAATAGGCACAGAAGGCAGTGCTCATGTTACTCCTGGCTGCGAAAGCTTAATGAGCACTGGCCCACTGCAGGAGGCGCGGGCTGCCACGTCAGCCGCTGCCCCAGGTCTGCTGCCAGCATACAGGGTTCATTCACATGAGCCGAAAGTCATGTCACGAAGTCGCTCGAGCAGGAATGGTGGCAGCAGCCAAATGGGGAGTCAAACGCTTGGCCCGTCTTGCTCAGTAGGGCTATGACGAATAGCATCTGGGGTTCTAGGCTGGGACCTTGCTGAGCCCTGTGAAGAGACGCCAAGGACTGGAGCCGGGATCGCAGGGCAGGGATGTAATCTGTTCTACGGTCCTTTGCTTAGGCACAAGATTCGAGTTGCATTCACGGCTGTGAGCAAAGGACCAGTCTAAATGGGAGCAAGGGCAACTCCCTCCAAACGTGCTCGTCTAGCTCAGCATCGGGCAGGACGGGCAGCAGCTCTCCTGGGTCCGAGGCAGGAACCTTGCCAGGCCCTACGTGCAGATCTCTCCCTCGCTCCCCACAGACGCTCATCACAACGGAATAAGAGACCAAATGCTTAAAGGGCTCTTTAATACGTGCACGGCGTGGTATTACACAAGCGATTAAACAGTGATTTACCACTTACAGAAAGTTAACAGACATAAGCACTGCTATTTTATAAAGATCATCTAAGTTTTTCCATTATAAAAATGCATCCCTGAAGCACACACATGTAAATCAACAGCATATAAAAAGGATTAAAAAAAAGAACTGCCCATGGGTGAGTTGTAAATAAATTACTTTAACTTTCTATTATATACATAAAATTATTTTCCAAAGGACAGCTTCAGAAGGGCTTTATAGGGCAAAATATTGTGCCCTTAGATACTTAACCCCACATGTTTCAGTTAATAAGCAAAATAATATTTACATCAGATGTGTACATAGATTTCTCCATTTTCCACAGATCCTGAAAAACAAGGAGGATGAAATTTAAAATCAAACTGCAAGCAAAGTTGGCTATTTCCCTGTTTTCTCCTCCCCTTCCCGGAGGCAATCAGGAATATATTCACCTATGAACTATTTAAAAATGTGTTTTGTACGTCTTGAAAGACTTGCATGTAAAGGTCATCTCTGGACTTCAGTCCATCCAGATAAACTGAAAAGGAAAACAGACAGTTACACTTTTCCATGCAAAACTGCATTAATTCTGAGCAACTGTTGTTGTTATTATTATTATATTGCATTTATCTCCTACCTTATTTCCTCTTGTGAGAAGCCCAAGTGGGCTTAATACAGGTGGCTCAGTGAAGTAGGTTAGGTTGAGAACTAGAGTAACTGGGCCAAAGTCAACTCGGTTTCATGGCTGACTGGGGACCAGAGCACTGATCTTCAGCTACCCAACCACATTACACTGGCTGTAGCACATGGTTGGAGTCACAGCTGTATGATGCTACAAACCCTGGGCACATTTTCTCAACGCAAGACGCACTGAAATAAGCAGGACCTGCCTATGAGTAAACATGCATGGCAGGGTGCTTTTAGAGCTTAGGAACTGAAGAGCCACAGTGCCAGAATCTGTAGGCAAGGCATGAAGCAGATGCTGGCCACTTCAGCAGAGCATCTAAGTAAGAAGCCCATAACAGGAGCGGGCAGCTCTTAGCCTTTCCCAGGGGAGACTGGTTGTTCCAAAGACACCAGGCTCCTTCCCTGCTCCAGATTTTGCACTGAATTTTAAAGGAGCTCTCCATGATGCTAGCCCTGTTAGATATGTACTCACACATGCATATATCCATATTGCATTGGGAGTTCCCTCTTAGCCACAAATCATTGCTAGGGGGACCTTACCAACATCAGTTCCAGTTGCTTCCATTTCCTTCCTGTGCTTAAGATACATGGGCCAGACATGGCCATCAAAAAGACCAGGTGGGTCAGGTACTGTGTATTTACGGGTACTACAAACAAGAAAAAAATGACTGTTAGGTTACAGTGTTACAGAATGAACAAATTCTGTGTAATAGATTTACAACATGGCTGTAACAAGCCATGTGTCTGGTTGGTTGTTACTTTCTTTCATCCCAAAACTCATTGGTCTAAAATGCTTGATTCTGTATGCTAATGTGGTATGATGATATTGATGAAATGCAAAATATCTTCTCCGGCACGTTCCTGCCCATGAATGGAGAACTCCAGAAGAGGGCCTTCTCTGGGTACCATCTGTCTATACATTGGCAAAAGACAGAGCACCAGATTCAGGAATGCCCTTCTAAAGCAGGAATGACTGCCACTGCTCCAAATTCCTTTTCGGACCCAACTGTACTTGCTCCTGTTTGTCCAGGGACAATGGGGAGAAATTTAAAATCTTGCCATTTTGAAATAGTAAAAACCATTCATTCCAAATAAACTGGTTCTGTATTTGCTCTTTTTATTGGTATAGCTTTGTTTAATTTTACTGTTACATTGTTTTTATAATTTTATATACACTATGACCCTGAGATTGGTGATAGTGCAGTGTAAAAAAGTTTTAAGTGAAAAGGAGCACAATCCTATGCATGTTTAGACAGACAAAGGTCCCACAACTTCGAGCATTCTCCGAGACATTTTTTCTGGCTGAACATAGGATTGCACTCTAAAAAATGCATTTATCCTACAGAATGATGACTGCCACTCCACTGCAACACCATGACCTTTGGTGGGCCAACATCCAAACATTGTGTCAAGTGAATGCTGTGGTGTGGGGCACTGGAGATGGGGCTGTTTATCCACTCCGGATTTTGCCCTGAATTGGAAAGGAGCTATCCATTGTGCTGAACCCAAGGCATGGACTTTTCAGATTTGCAAAGCATGTTTATGTTACAGGATTTCACAAAAAAATAGTCATAGAAAAATATGTAAATAAAAAACACCCCTTGGGTAATACAAGAAGGTATGGATCTTGATGGGATTTGTGTATATTTATATAACTTTCACTTAGTGCAAATGAGAGTATTTGGACAAAATGCAATTTCACTAAGGAGGGGATGATAGAAGACATGACAATCCATGAAGCACAAATGGAATGGATTTTACGATATCCATAGAACAGTGGTCAAAAATGGACCACATCTTCATAGAAAGGGGGAGCAATCACACCTAAGAACTGAACAATAGTAAGAAATATTAAGTTCCTTGAAATGATGTGTTAGTGACTAGAATATTAACAAGGGGGAAAAATTGCAACCTCCAGTCCCTTCGAAGGAACAAGGAAAAGATGCTGTAAATGTTCAGTATTACCTGGTTCAAGTCAAGACACCAGCCTTACCTCCTCCTCCGTTTGCATTCATCATATGGAACAGCTAAGTAGTACCGCTTATCAAACAAGTCCAGTAGTGGTCTGAGGGAGAGAGAAAACAAGAACAGAGCACCAGTTTTCCATTAATGAGGACTTGAGACATAAGCCGCCCCGAGGTTTCGGCAAGGGGCGGCATAGAAATGTTAATAATAATAATAATAATAATAATAATAATAATAATAATAATAATAAAAAATAGCCCTAACCCACACGCTTCCATCCATGGCTTCTAGCATCCCTGATACGAGTTGTTTAGAACAAGATCATGTACCACATTTCACTGAAGGCCTGGTGGTACATTTCAAGCAAGGAAGCAAATTGGTGCAAAACTGGCCAATTGAGACATTTTTTTACGAAAAACAAACCAGATACTGAAAGCAAGGACATTGGCTAAGTGATAAAGCACCTGCTTTGCTCCAAGCAAAAGCCTCCAAGCTCTGGTACCTGACTTCTACCTGAGTAGGCTCCCTAGCTGAGCAGCCAAGATAGCAATCAGAGAGAGCAAAAAAGAGCTTGGTGACAGAGTTCAGTATAGGTAAGGGAAGGGAAAATAAGGATGAAACTCTCTGGAAAAGGGTGACAGGAACAGAACTAGAAAAGCTAGAAGATACTCTGTACCAGTAGAACTCTCAAACTGCTTGCAGTTACTCAAGGGTAAGATTGGAGAGCAGCCTGCTGCAATTCATTCCATGCAACAATGAACAAGGGTCTAAAATGGCATCAATGATACGAACAAGAAGAGGAGAGGTGGGAAATGCCCTGTTGCGTGGGATGGAAACTCAGATACGTTGGCAAGACCTGTGAACTCAGCAGACATGCTGTCTTCAAGGTTCCACTTGGATGCCAGGAAGCACTTCCTGACAGTTGGGACCGCAAGGGTGTGGAATGGGCTTCCACGGGAGGTGGTTGAGGCCCCATTGGTGCGGGTGTTCAAGGATAAGCAGGTTGCTTACCTGTAACTGATGTTCTTTGAGTGGCCATCTGTGCAGTCACACATATGGGTACTGCGCCTGCGCAGTGCCTGTGGCCGGAAGATTGACAGCTAATGGTTTTTGGCGGGAAGCTCTGCTCCCCCTCCCCTGTGGCCTATAAAGAGCGGAGCATCTGCCATTTTGTTCAGTCTTTGCGACCGAATGTACGCTATCTTATTGAAAAAACTCTGTTTGTTTTTGTTTTTTTTTGATGTCGGTACCGTGAAAAAGGGCATGGTCGGTACCAAAAGATGCATCCACTCACTGACACCAAGCGGGGCCGGCGGGTGGGTTGTGTGACTGCACAGATGGCCACTAAAAGAACATCAGTTACAGGTAAGCAACCTGCTCTTCTTCGTCGTGGCCTCTGTGCATCACACATATGGGTAGATTAACAAGCTTGCCATAAAGGAGGAGGGAAGGTGTCCTCATTGAAGAACGGAGGAGAGAACAGCTCTACCGAAGGAGCAATCCCGTCGAGCTTGAACATCGAGACGGTAGTGCCTGGCGAAGGTGCAAGGGTTCGCCCAAGTAGCGGCTCGGTAGACGTCATCAATCGGGACCCTGGATGTGAATGCAGACGCGGTGGCAACAGCTCCAGCAGAATGGCCTCGAGGAACTGAAGGCAGTTCGAGCTTAGCTAATTGATAGCATAAGACTATAGTGTGGACTATCCACTTAGAAAGTCTCTGCGGAGTGACTGGATCGCCTTGATCCCTAGCAGAATATTTGATGAATAGTTTATTGGATCGTCGAATAGACTCTGTTCGTGATTGGTAGAAGGCTAAGCAACGGCGAACATTGAGTGAATGCAAAGATCTTTCCAATGGAGTCGACGGTGACGGAAAAAAGGCAGGCAGCCCAATGTCTTGTCCCGTATGGAAAGGTGTAGACATTTTAGGCAAAAAAGACTGGTCGAGGCGTAAAACGACCTTCTCCCTGTGAAAGTTTAAATAAGGAGGGTCTATGCGAAGCGCGCAAAGTTCACTGGCCCTCCAGGCTGAAGTGACAGCTACAAGAAACACCGTCTTCCAAGAGACCAATCGAAGATCCACCGTCGGCAAAGGTTTGAAGGGGGCCTTCATAAGGGCCTGTGGAACTACAGAGAGGCTCCATGTGGGCATAACCGGTCTAATTGATAGGTTAAGATTATATAGCCCCTTCAAAAATCTTTTGAGGATAGGATGAGAAAACAGAGGTGATCCGTCGACTAAGCCACGGTAGTAGGCTATTGTGGCTGTATACACTTTAATGGACGACAGCTTCAGAATGGTGCAGTTCCAGGAGGAACTGAAGAATCTGTTGAATGGATGAGAGGAATGGAGAGAACGAACGCGACTTGGCAAAGGCGGAAAAACGTTTCCATTTAGCCTTATATGACTTCCTTGTGGACGGCTTTAAGGCAGAGTCAATGATATGCTGAATATCAGGGTGCAAAAATGTCAGATTCGGATTCAACGGGTCTTATCTCGAACCAGATAGTACAGAGAGACCAGAGAGGGGGGAAGCACCCGAGTGATTGGGTTCGACAATCGGATCTGAGGTGATCGAAGTCATTGTCGGTACTGACAGATTAGTAGAAGCTGTCGGATTCGTAACTTTCGAAACCATCATTGGCACCGATGGAACGTCAATCATCAAATTCGCCACGCTGTTAGGTTCAATGAGAGCAAATCCGGGTGGCGAAGTGTGCCGTCCACCTGTGTTATAAGATATGGGAGCGATGGAAGATGAAGAAATTCCCCGCGAGAGATGTTGAGTAGTTTTGCAAAGCACGCTTGACGTGGCCACCAAGGGGCAACTAGTATCCCCAATGCTTGGTCGTGCACTATCTTTGCTATGACCCTCATCAGAAGAGGGATCGGAGGGAAGGCGTAGAAGTTCATATTGTTCCAAGGGATCATGAATGCGTCCCCTAGGGATGCGTGTCCGATTCCCGCTCTTGAACAGTAAGCCTCGCACACCCTGTTTTGTTGGGTAGCGAATAAGTCCACGTCGGGAAACCCCCAGCGCCGGAAAAGTGGTTGCGTGCACGGGGATCCAGTTCCCACTCGTGAGAGGTGAACATGTGCCTGCTGAGAAGATCCGCCTGCACATTGTCTACACCAGCTAGATGAACAGCCATCAGCGTGATGTGCCTCCGGATGCACCAGTCCCAAATTTTCATAGAAAGCCTGGCTAGAGTCGGTGACTTTGTTCCCCCTTGCTTGTTCAGATAAAAGACGGTAGCTATATTGTCCGAAGTTATCTGAACGATCTGATGATGAAGGATGTCCTCGGAAGAGCGCAGGGCTTTGAAAACTGCCAGTAGTTCTAGGAAGCTGATATGATTCGTGGATTCTAGACGATTCCACGTACCCTGGGTAGATAGGCCGGAGCATATCGCTCCCCATCCTAGAAGAGACGCGTCAGTGCCAAGGGTAATCATAGGAGGTTGCGCCCTGAAGGGGACTCCTATTGTAAGATTGGTCTGTTCCAACCACCAACGCAGAGTGAAGTACGGAAGTTGGGATCCGAATCAGTCTCGACTGCGGATCTCTTTGAGGATGGTACACCTTGTTGAAAAAGAGTTGCAGTGGGCGAAGCCGAAGCCTGGCACGTGGAACTACGGCAACTGAGGAAGTGATATGCCCCAGGATCCTCTGGATAGACCTCGCCGGGACCATTCCCTCTCATTGGATTCGATGGATGTGGCAAACAAGAGTCTGTTGTCTGTCCTGAGGGAGGAAGCCTTTTTCCAACGTCGAATCCAAGCAGGCTCCAATGAAGGTGAGCGTCTGTGTCGGGAGAAGAGAAGATTTCTCGGTATTAATATGTAGGCCTAGGCTATTGAGCAAGGCACAAGTTGTATGGATGGCCGCAAGGAGTCCTTCTCTGGACTGCGACACCAACAGCCAGTCATCGAGGTACAGATAAATTTGTATGCCCTGGAGGCGTAGGAAGGCACAAACAGGAGCCATGCACTTGGTAAAAACCCTTGGAGCCGAAGCCAGTCCAAAAGGCAAAACTGTAAACTCATAAAGTTGGTTTGCAACCGCAAAACGAAGGAAATGCCTGTAACTTGGGTGAATTGAAATATGGAAGTAGGCATCCTTCAAGTCCAATGAGGCGAACCAATCCTCTCTCCTTAGCAACGGCAAAATGTTTTGAAGGGTAGTCATACGAAACTTTTTTGGTACCATAAACTTATTTAAGTTCCGTAAGTCCAAAATTGGACGTAGACCACCATCCCGCTTAGGGACCGTGAAGTATCTGGAATAGAATCCGTGGAGTCCGTCAGATGGGAATACTTGACAAATCGCTCCTTTACGAAGAAGTTGATGTATTTCGTTGAGCAGTACCGGTGAACATGAAGTGGACCGGATCAGACTCGACGGAGGAACGATGTCGAATTCTATTCGATAGCCGTGTTGAACAATGGACAATACCCACCGATCAGATGTGATGGACTCCCAAATGGGGAGTTGGCTTTGAAGCCGATCCCCAGATGAGAGGGGGGTGGGTATTGGTGGAGCGTGAGGAATGGTTCGCCAGTCCCGTCAACGTTGCCTCCGATCGTCGAAACAACAGCAGCCTTGTTGGAAGTGTTGTTGGGGCTGAGGATGGCGGGGCTGCTGTTGCTGCCGGTGTTGTGGCTGCTGCCTCGGTTGATATGATTGCCTGTAGGATGGACGATTCCAGGACCACTTACGTCTGGCGTGGGACTGTATCTCCATCCTGCATGCCGTCATCCTCGATTCATGCAGCTTCTTGAGCTTGTGGTCAGTGCGAGAATGGAAAAGCCCGGATCCATCGAAAGGCATTCCCTTGATCTGGCACTTGGTTTCTTCTGGAAAATTACAATTCCAAAGCCATGCATGCCTTCGGAGAGAAACGGCACCGACCAAGGCCCGTGAGTCAGTATCCACGTGGTACCTCACCATGGATAACTGCTGCACCGCGACCTGCATGGCTTCCTTAATCAGGACCTTCGCGAGGTCACACTGGTGGTCCGGGAGGGTGGAGGCGACGTTGTGCAGGCGCTGCATAATAAAGTATTGATACCTCGCCAACGTCACCTTGTAATTTGAT